ATATACATATATAAACATACATATATACATACATACACATACATATATTTTATACATGTATGATATATAGGTAACATGTATATGTATATATAAATGTATATGTATGTGTATATATGTGTACATATGTATATATATGTATATATTATGCATACATTATGTATAAATTATATATACATTATTTACATAAATATATACATAGATATATACATACGTTTACTTATATTTGCATACACAGACACACACACACACACACACACACACACACACACATATATATATATATATATATATATATATATATATATATATATATATATATATATTATATATTTATATATACACATGTCTCTATATGTGTGTGTATATATGTATGAGTGTGTATATATATATATGTATATATGTATATGTATGTATATATAAATTATATATATATATATATTAATGAAAGTATCATTAGTGAGTGTAGCTGGGGTATTTTTGTATGCTCGTTTATTCAAGTCTTATTTATTTATGATGGTGCATAAATTAAATTTTTGTAATATTTTTAAATATTTTTTCCCTCCCTTCTCTAATGAAGTATGTGGACGTAGGACTGTTTGTTGTCTAAATTGTGAGATTTCTTCCCTTTTTTCCGATGTAGATGCTTGTAAAAAGAAAGTTTTTGAAGTTGCAACAGAGCCTAGAACAAAAACTACAATTTGAAATTAAATCTAGTGCAATTTACAATTGGATATGATATAAAGTAATATATACAATCAAAACTTTTCCAACATATAGGATTAAAGGTCAGAAATTGTTTAGACATAGTAGGCCTTTTTTCTAGTGTCATTCCAACAATATTAATTTTTATGATTAAGTTTATCTTGATTGTAGTAAGTGATTAATTAAAAAGAAATAAGCTCTTCCAGTAAAAATGAATCGGCTGTTACTGTTAAAAGAATTTTCTAAAATCTTTTTCATAAATTACTTTGGGGGAAGAAGATACATTTCAAAGTATAACCAAAATAAGAAACAAGTTTGCTATTCTACTATCTCCTTATGTATATGGTTATTGTGCAAATTCTAAAGTTTATTTTTACTAATAAGCAAGATTTGATAATCTGTAAAGCTCTGTGTGTGTATTTTTTATTTCATTACCACTTTACTGTATTCTCAGTACTGGATATGGATATTTGAAATTTGGAGTCTGATTACTTATTGACATGGTGAAAAGGAAAATTACTGCATGGCATTAACGAATCTGAGAGCAATGAGGCATAGAGGTTTTGTTGTGGTCTTTTTGCAGTTGCGGATAGTGAGTGTATCAGGGGCAAGCAGCATTGAATGGGCAGCTGATCCTCCGAAACGCAAGCACCCTTGCAGGTTTTGTGGTAAGCTCTTCACTCGCCGGGGTCATGCCAGCCAACATGAACGCCAACACACGGGTGATCTACCGTATTCCTGTGTTATCTGCAACAAGAAATTTGTCAACAAGTCCCATTATGATTATCATATTACTCGTAGCCTGGAACACCAAACAAAACTTAGGAATTGTGACATGTAACTGAGTGAATTCCTATTTCTAAGCTGGTGTACGGGCAGAATAGTGATTGGTGCATGAACACCCACAATAGCTGGCTATAGGAATTGATAGTGATGCCAAGCTTTTATTTTGTTGCAGGGGGGTTGTGTTGGTGGTGGTGGGGGTGATGATTATGGTGAGGAAGTAATGAAGGTTATAGTGGACAAGGCTTTTTGTCTTGTCCCACCTTCACCTTGCCAAGACCAGCCAGCTTGGAGTGGTCCCCGCCCCTCCATCAGTGACCCCCAGCAGGTAGGCTACTTATGCCAAGTGTGTGGTCAGGTCATCCAGAGGAGAGACAATTACAGGAGACACCTGCGCCTGCATTCAGGAATGTTGCCTTTCCAATGTCATCTGTGCCCGCGACGGTTCAACACACGTTATCATCTACAGTACCACCTCAAGCGTAGCAATGTACATGCTTCTGCCAGTAACACAGACTTGACTAATGCTTCTGTACCTCCTGAGTGAAGTTGAAAGGAGAGCAATGCAAGAGTGAAGTTCATCCTCTACGCAGTAAATTGTGATAGTGGTGTTCCTGCAAGAATGTAATGCAGAAGATAACCAAAAGTTGTGGTTTAAGATTTTATAATTTCCAGTAGTTGGAAATTGAAATTGGAGGCTGCAGCAATTGCCAAAGGTTTCCCTTTTGTTTCCTGTGATTTTTTCATTTATATATTTTTTCTGGTTTACTTTTTTCCCTTTCATTTTTTTTTAGTACATTCATCAGAGATACTGATTATAATTTTGACTTTTCAACTTTGCTTTGTAGTTGAATTGGTAATACTTACATGGTTATGATGATGCTATAGTGCAAGTGTCTCTGACAAGTTGCTACTTGAAATGGGTGGATTTTCTAAGAGTTCATAGTGGAAAGAACTAAGGGGGTCGATGGGACTAGAAAATGTGAGCGGCTTGGTGAAACCAATCTTTCATTTGTTGCAGGACTATGGCATGTATTTGTTCGCTCCACCTTTAAGAGGCACTGAAGAGCCCAAAATCTTCAAGTGCTCGTTCTGTGACAAGACGTTTCAGCGGAGAGCTAACGCACTTCGTCATGAAAAGCTCCATACTGGGGAGAAGCCCTTTGTGTGTCCTCTTTGCGGTCGGGGGTTCATCACGAAGGCCAACTTGATGTACCACCTTGAGCGTAGCCAGGAGCATGCGAATGATCGTAGTAACCCAATTTATTAAATGGCATCGATATTTTCATGATAGGAAATGTGGGTTTCCCGCCATGTTATGTAAGTGATAAGAAAATGAATTTATTGGTGTCATTTTTTATTCTGTGTTACTTGGTTCCACGGAAGCCTAGTAGGAATTTGGGGTGGGTGTCGTGCCACCGTGTATAGCTGCTGTAGCCACTGTAGAGATGCTGGCTAAGGCAGGTCTCCTCTCGTTTGTTGCAGGGTTCGTGGCAAGCCTGCCACTTGGATTGGCTCAGGGATCCAGCCAGTGGTGACAGCAGCCGGCCCTTTGTGTGCACCTACTGCAGGAAGGCCTTCAAGCGCAAGGATCACCTATTAATACACGAGAAGGTGCACACTGGCGACAAGCCATTTGTGTGTGAAGTGTGTGGTCATCGCTTCGCTCAAAAGACACACCTCCGAAATCATCTGACCAAACATTCGGAAGTGCGTGCTCATGCTTGCATTGTTTGTGGGAAGAGGTTTAAACGGAAAGACTCCCTTAAGATCCATGAAAAGATACACCATGATGAAAGTAATACTTGTGCCATCTGCGGACTTGTCTTAGACACTAGAGAGGGCTGGCGTAACCATCTGTCCTCTCACTATCAGATGTAGCACTGCTGAAAGTAATCTAAAGGTATTTGGTGCACCTCCAAGAGAGTATTCTCCAAATGCCTGGACCAAAGGCAAAAAAATAAAACCAAAAAAAAAAACAAAAAACAAAAAAACATTCCGGTGATGTATTGTCACACTTAACAGTAACCAGAATTGAGTATTTTGGGTGGGAGTGGGTAGAGCGGCCTGGTGGTGATCTTGCTAAGCAGCTCTCCTCTGCTCTGTTCCAGGGGCTGATGGCTGCCCTCAACTACCACATGGCCGGTTTGGATGAGGAGACGCTTAGGCCACATCAGTGTGTATATTGTGGGCGCCGTTTTAAGCGCAAAGACCACCGCATCGAACATGAAAGGATCCACACAGGAGAGCGCCCTTATGCTTGTCGGCTTTGTGGCCGTGCCTTTGTACAGAAGCATCAGCTGATGAGTCATGTACGACGCAAGCATGCTGCCACTGACCCAACTATACCAAGGCCATATCCACCAGCTCCTCCCCCTCCTGCACCTCCATCACACCTTGGTAGAGGCGTTGGAGATCAACAATCTCAATATTAGCTCAACAAATATTAGACAGAATTAATAACTTGAGACATGTTGTTAAAACTAAAGTTTGTGATATCTTAAAGAAATCATAGAATTTGCTAATAATATATGGCAGGCCTACCATAGGATATGTTGAATTATATTATTAGATAATTTATTTTTGTTTAGAGGCCAGGCAGGTAGTGAGACTTTGTATGATTTAATGTAAGATGACAGATAATGAATTTTACTTCTGTAATTTAAAACAAGCTGCCAGATAGCAACTATATTGTCATAATTTAAGACAAGCTGCCAGATATCTCTTATACTTTTATTATTTGGTTAAATGTACTGTATATAAATTATGCCATGTAGTAGAATAATGATGAATATTGTGCTTTTACATAAAGTGTGCTTGGTACTTATGTATTTATTTTTTTAACTAGTCTTATCAATGTTGAATTGTTGGGGTTGGATGAATATACATTACCATTCAAAAGGATTTTGAATAGGAATAAATAGCAGCAATCATTTGTATTCCATAGTAGACCAAGCCTAGCCCAATAGATAAGATGACACTGTAATAACTTGTTCTGCTCAAGTATTGTTTACTCTGTAGCGTCCTGATAATAAAGGGCAGAGTTGGTATTCCTCACATTTTCTTAGTATATAATCCCTTTTTAAGATTTTGAAATAGAAAGTAAAATTTGAGCTGTGACCTGGTATAATGTCATTTTTGTCTACTACACAGTTAAAGTTTTATCAAGTGGTTTGTGATACCTTAAAAATTTAGAAATGACCTAAGCAAGAGTTAGAATAAAAGATGGAATCTTCATATGATATGAGAAGACTTCATATTATATAATAACATTTGATGAGCTAACTTGTTCTAAAAATAATCAGTAAAGAGAACTTTGATATATCATAAGTAATTTATTATAGTGCTATAGGAATTAAAAGAAAAAAAGAAGAAGTAAATTGTGTGCTGAAACAAAATGTCACATTTGTTAATGCAGCATCTAAGCAAATGAATTAGAGAATTTCTTAAACATTACAGGGAAGCATATTAGATTCATAAGGCTTGTAAGTTGCTGTAGTTCTAAGATGAAAAAAATAATTAGAATATTAAATGTACTAAAGAAAAAAGATAATCTCAAGAAATTTACCAATACATAAAGAAAAAAGTAAAGGTCACGTTATATTCTAGACATTAGGAAGAACTGTCCTGAAGAAAAGAAGAAAGGTTCAATAAGGATTCAAACTGTCATGGCTAGTCGTCAGACTGAATTTTGGTGATGGAAAAGGAAGGGGAGGTCTATGGTAGGTATTGAAAGCTAATCTTTGTAAGATTATTGATGTTGAGATTGAGAGCATGTGTATTAAATGTGGTACAGATTAGGTATTTATTTGCACACATAAAAAACACTTCAATAATGATGCATCAGAGCCTTCACTGATAATGTGGGCTTAGCTTGCATGGTCCTATCTTCTTTTTCTTTTTCCTCCTGCTCTACCTATCCTTTGGTTCCTTTTCATCTTTACCAGCCATTCTTCTTGAAAACTCAGATTTTTAATTTTATGAAACTTACCACTCAGACCACTAAAGAACTTGATTTACAAATGTAGAGTCCTTATATTTAACAATTGGAAGTAGGATCCTGTACACTTGGTACAAATTGAGAGAAAGCTATTAAGACAGGTTATGCTAAAAAAAAAGGTAAAAAAAAAATATAAAAATTACTACTACTAATACTAATCACATAGTAGTAGTTAATTAAGAGGAAGGATTAGATCCCATTCAGATTCAGTTATGCATATATAGAATGTTGACTGAACTTATTTTTAGTTTTTATTTTATTTGCCAAGCTTTTTCAAGCATATACTAAAATACAACAATTTAACTTAACAATGTCAACATTTTGTGAAATGAAACCACTTTGAAATAAGTACTAAACTATCCCTGTAAATGTGAGGTGCATATCTCTCTCTCTCTCTCACTCACTCACTCACTCACTCACGCACTCACTCACACACACACACACACTCACACACACACACACACACACACACACACACACACACACACACACACACACACACACACACACACACACACACACTCTCTCTCACTCTCTCTACACACTCTCACACTCTCTCTCTCTCTCACACTCTCTCTCTCTCTCTCTCTCTCTCTCTCTCTCTCTCTCTCTCTCTCTCTCTCTCTCTCTCTCTCTCTCTCTCTCTCTCTCTCTCTCACTCACACACTGCGAAGTAGTGAAAAAAGTAAATAAGAAAAAAAGGGAAAAGTTCACCTATTTGTCACAATGTCCAAAAGAAACTGAGTAAAGGCATCAAAATGAAAAGGCAAACAGTATTCTGTATAAAGGAATTATGATAGAATAAATGAATAATATTTATAAGCGATACTAATATAGCTGTTGACTATCTATATATACTCCTCTGAAAATTTGTATTCACCAAGTTCTAGGCATTTTTATAACTTAGTTTTGAGGATTACAGTGTTTTTTTGTTTTTTTTAATGAGGTAACACTGCACTTTTTAGACTTCTCTACACAAATTTCTAATGTTAACTGTAGGTTTAGATTTATGAAAAGTTATTATTATTGTTGATATTATTGCAATTATTTATTATTGCCATTATTATTAGTCATTATTATTATTATTATTATTGTTTTTATTTTTATTTTATTACTATTACTATTATTGTTAGTATCATGATTATTATTCTTATTACTTTTATTATTATTGATAATTTTCTTTCGCTTTTATTAATTATTCATCATTTTCCCCTAAATTATATACTTTCATATTACTATTTTCCCCAACATTCTTTTAATAAAAAAAAAGAAAAAAAAATCACAAACCACTTTGAAAGAGCATCTTTTATCATGACTTGAGAAGTGCAAACCTAGAAAACTGTATTGTTAAGGGTGAGAAAAATGGCCAAGTAACCTGGATCTGCACCAGACTAAGCCAGCATGTTTCTCCCTTCCAGGGGCATGTGGGGTGGCCAGGGTTGGTGGGGCGTCACCCTGTAGAGACCCACAATATCTGCTTAGGAGGGCAAACTGTTCGTGCGCACAACCCCCTCCAACACTCCTCAGTCCTCAACCCCCAGCCAGCCACCCACTCCTCTGAAGCATTCATGCGGCCGTTTTCTTGCAATTTCTGTGACAGTCGGTTCAAGACGAAGCAGCATCTGACACAACATCAGCGGCTGCACACAGGCGAAAAACCCTACTCATGCTTGTACTGTCAGGCCCGGTTCACACAGATGACTCCATTAAAGCGACACATTGCCAAAATGCACTCTGATACATCACAAAGCTCTCAGGACTCCCCTCATGCACTTTCAAGTATCGGAAGATTAGAAATGTGACTCTGGAAATCTTCCAGTGTGCTGTGAAGGCAGATGTTAGGTAGAGGTTGACTGTTGAAAAGTGTGTTGGTATTTCGTTCTTTTAGTTTCCTTTCCAGAAATTAGTCATGATTAGCAAATTAAATTTTCAGTTATATGTTTTATCTTGTATATCAAGGCCATAGCATGAGTATTACCTACTTTTTATATATAAAAGGAAAAGGAAAACAAAAC